GCCCACGCAGAAACGCTCACCGGAAGAAAGGAAGGGGCGGACGAAAACAAGGATGATGAGGAGGCGGCCTGTGCGGATCTGTTGTCGCGAGGCCTTGAGGAGTGTTGTTTGGAGTTTGTTGGGGCCCTCTTGGAGGGACTTGGGGCACCATTGGGCTCTTTGCTGAGATCTGGGATGCCTCTTCGGGCCGTCTTGGAAGCCACGGCTAAAAAAACGAGGGCGGCTGTAATCCTGGTCCCCTTCGGAAGCGGAACAAATTCTTGAACTTTCGCGCTAGGATTTAGTTTTGCTTGTAGCCCGATGCGGCCTGTGACGCCGCTGGCGCCGTCGCCTGCGGCTGCGACAAAAAGTAACCCCACCAGCCAATCCAGAAACGATGCCCACTTGGAGCGTTTTGGAAGCCTCGGGGGGCCTCTTTGGAGACCTCTTGGAGAGTCTTGGAGACCTCTTTGGCGCCTCTTGGGGCCTCCTGGGCGCCTCTTGGGCCCCTCGTGGGACGCTCTTGGAAGCCTTGGAGGTGCTCTTGGATCCATCTTGGAGGAGATCGATCAAAAAGAAGGGGGCCTAATTGGCCTTGCCCTTTAGAGTGCCTGACCTCGCCTCTTGGACCCCTCTTGGAGCGCTCGTTGACGCTCTTGGGGCCGTCTTGGGGCTCTCTTGGGCCTCTCTTGGGGCCCTCAGAGGCTTCCTTGGGGCTGCCTTGAGGCCTCGGAAAGTCACGGGAAGCGAAAAGGCGAGAAGGCGAATTCCATTGGTTCTTCCTCGGGTGTTTGAAGGTTTTGGGCTCTTGGCGGCCTCCTGGGGAGGTTCCGTGGCAACTTGGAGCCGTCTTAGACTTAGAGCGGTCTTGGGGTTTCTTGGAGAATCTTGGGGGTCATCTGGAGCCATCTTGGGTTATTTTGGGCCATCGCGGAGGTCATCTTAGGCTCTCGGAGGCCCTCTTGGAGCCATCTTGGGTCATTTTGGACGCTCCAGCGCCTCGCGACCCCCCCCCCCTCCAGGTCCAGGGGAGGGGGTATGGGGGGAGGTCGAGCTTCCCACCCGACCGCAAGCCGTCTTGCTCACTCCCACCCTCCCAACACGTACGTAACACCCGGGAGTCAGCATCTCGCGTAAAAGCGTAGCAGGCGCCACGGGTTCCAGGTGCACCAGACCCTGGAGGCCCGTGCCAGGTGCGGCACGTGCTCCACGTGCTCCCAGTGTTCCACGTGCTCCAGCCGCGCCAGGTGCGCCAGCCACGGGGAACCAATGGGTGCTCTTGGGCCCGGTTTTGAGCTTTCTTGGCGAGTGTTGGAGCCATGTGGAGGTTTCCAAATCCCGTCGGAAACGGTAAGGTGAAAAGGCAGCAGCCACTGATGTGTCAAACCAGTCGGTCGACCACCTGCGCCCAGAAGGCAGGTGAATTCTGCTGGCACCCCAGCCGCCCCTGTAAGATACCAATACAAGATATTCGCGGGGGGCTGCGCATGCTCCAAATGTGGAGGCAGAGTGCGTTTTGTATTGTTTTGTTTTTTGACAGGGATTGTGGGGGGGCCCTCATGAGGTTGTCATGGTTCTGGGTTGGCAGCCGTCCAGGTGGGGGAGGGGGTGCGCATCAATAGGGGACAGTGATCAAGACACCCTCCTAGATAGCAAGCCGTCTGGCTCATTCCCACCCGCCCCCCAACACATAAGTAACACCCGAGCCTCAGCATGTTCAGCGGTTGTCTTTGGATGATCACCTACTTGGAACCACAACCGAGCCCATATGCACGACGCTGGGGCGAAGTGCGCCACGCGCGCCAGGCGCGCCACGCACACCAGGCACCCTTGGGGCCCGAGCGTGCCATGCACGCCTGGTGCGCAAGATGCGCCACGTGCCTCCGCGTGCGTCAGGTGTGCCGCATGCTCCATCCGCGCCAGGTGCGCCACGTTGGGGGCACGTGCAGAGTGTGTCAAGTGCGCCTGCGCACGAGACAGCACACATCGGGAAGCATATCGGCCCCCACCGTCCATGTCCAAAGCCAATGCCCATCAATGTGTCTGATCGCGGGGTGGCCGCGCATGATCCAGATTTTGCCGCGAGGTGCCGTTTGTATTGTTTTTTCTGTCAGGGATGGTAGCCCTGCGCGCAGCAGGCAATATGCTGACACACCCGCTGTGCCTGTCAAAAAACAGTGCAAAGTACTCGCGGGCCTCACGATCATGACTTCAGACTTTGCCCAAAAGTGTACGTTGTGTTGTCTATTGGCAGGGATAGTGTCGGGGGGGCCTCAGGGTGTCCTCATTGTTCCTGGTTGGCTGCCGGTCGCCTGGGGAGGGGGTGTTTATTCATCGGGAGCAGTGAGAAACCCCTTCCCGCAGGGGAAGAGGGAGGATGGAAGAGACACGGCTCTAGACCACCTACGCCCAGAGGGCAGGTGGGATTCGTCTGAGGGGCCCTCTTGGGGAGCTCTTGGGCGCCTCTTGAGCGCTGCTGGGGCTGCCTTGGTGCCTTATTGGAGCTCTCTTGAGCAATCATGGGGCTATCTTGAGGCCCCAGAGGCTCATCAGAAGCCCAAAGGCCAGAACGCAAACACCATAGATGTCCATCAGGTATTTGACAGATTTGGGACCTTTCATGGGGTACCTTAAAACTCTCTAAGGGCACTCGGAACCGTATTGGGGCGACCTTGGGGCCTCTTGGCGTTATGTCAGAGACTATCTCAAGCCATCGTGGAGTAGCTTGGGCCATCTTGGAGACCATCTTGCAGCACCTGGGGCCCTCTTGGAGCTATCTTGGGCCTCAAAAGGTCCCCACGAGAGCCCCAAGAGGGCCACAGGAGGTCCCCAAGATGGCTTCGAGAGGGCCACAAGACTGCCCACCCCTCCCAAGACGACCCAAGAGGGCCCCAGGACGGCCCGAAAGAGCTCCAAAAGGAAATGTAATATTCGTAGATGTTCGCAAGGCTTTTTGCAAGTTGTTTGTATGTTGTACGGAAGTCTTAACACCAGCAGGGCTCCAAGACACCAAGCCAGCGACCTCGCGCCCTCACAACGTACACGCGCTGTCCGTCCCCGTGCCAAGCAGGTCTAATGCCCAAAATTTCTGCCATGCTCGGCCCAAGATGGCCCAAGTCGGCCTCAAGAGCGCACAAGAGGCTTCCAAAACAGCCAAGGGGCCCAAAAGGCGGCCTAATTTAGGCCGCCTTGGGGGCCCCTTGGGCTGTCTTGGGCCCTCTTGGGCCGTCTTGGGCACCTCTGGGGCCGTCTTGGGGCCTCTTGAGCTGTCTTGGGCGGTCTTGGGGGCCTCTTGGGCCCTCTTGGGCCGTCGGAGGATCGGACAATGGAGCACCCCAAAACATCAATTTCAAACATCAATTGGAAACCTTCAAATGCGGCCTTGGGGCCCTCTTTGGATGGCTCTTGGGGCTCTCTTGGGGTGCCTCGAAGGCCTCTTTGGCCGTCTTGGAGGCATCTTGGGCGTCTTGGACCGATCGTGCGGCGATTCGGGATACCAGGGTACCCTTGGACCCTTGGACCGTCTCGGCGACCTCTTGGGGCGCTATTGGCCCGTCCTGGCGCTCGATGGAAAGTCACGCGACAAGACGCGGCAAGTACCCTTGAGGCGCGCGGGGAACCCGAGCGGGGGCACGCGGGGAGCCCCACTAGATTCGGCAATTCGGGTTCCGGGCCAATAAGATGAAGTCGGGCCTGTCCCTCTACTTGAGAAGTGGTCTGGAGACGATTGTTTGACTATGTTGTTCTTTTTGGGGGTATTTTCTGAGTATCTTTAACATTCCGCCCACAATCTCCCTGTAGGGGGACACGCCGACTTAATAGTAAGAGAATCTTCAGGATTGAGAGTCGAGGCTTCAAGTATTCGGCGGCCCCTCCCTGCCCTCCCCTCCCTCGCGCTCCCCCCCACCACCACGGCTGACCCGACGCCCGGGCCTGGCGCTTCGCTGGCGGCAGCCGCCACCGGTCTTCGCATCAATGAAACTACGGGCTGCGTGTTACCGGCACGCCGACAGAGGCAAGGCCACGTGCTACGGCCCAGCACGCCCTATTCTTTTTCACCCTCCACTTGGGGACACTTCAACTTGTGCCTCAGGGTACGGTGGCGGATAAGGAACAGAGGTAACCTCTCCCCTGGCTTGGGGAAGGAGGGGTTCTGGAAGGACTGAGGAAGAATTCGTTCCAATACTTTCGCCCAGAGGGCTGGTGGGATTTGCTTTCAGGCAACCGCATTCTCAGCGTGAAGGTCGGTTGGGACCCGTGGAGTTGTTCTTGTCTTGTAGCGTTTGGGCGAAAGAAGCTTGATGGGCGTGGGGGCACATTTTCCTGCAGGCATTTTGGCACAAAGTGCTACGGCGACGAGGCCAGAACAGAGGTAGCTGAACTCCAGAGGCCATTGCCGCGTTGAAAGCATCGCTCTCTTTTACCGAGCATCGCTGTACGTCCGTCGATGTGGTTTTGTCCACGACGCGGCGCGAGACCCCCCGACTCCTTCCCCGAGTGCAGCTGCTCGTCTTGGAGCCAAGCTCCGAGGCCCGAAAACGGCCCCCGGTTCTAACTCGACGAAACACGCCGTGATTGAACAATCAGGAGGGAAACAACAAGATAAACACTGATCACTGCCGATTCCTGTGAAAAGGTGGAAAAAGCCAGAAGTGGAGGGGGACCTCGAACAAATCTCGGAACTGTGGCGCATGATGGGGGTTCCTGGAAATCTGCGTACAGTGGAAACCTCGGCCAAGAAACACCCTACTTGGTCCCAGCGTGTCCTGGGTTTCCTGGGTTTCGACGGCTCTGCGATGGAAGGCGTGACGGTCCCGCACCGCAAATCAACGGACGCCCTGGGGTCTCAGGCTTGGGCTTCTCGTGGAAGGTTCTTTGTGGTCGAGCCCCTGCCGTCTTTGGTCGTGCCTCCCTGCGCCCCCGTCCACGAGGCCGGTGCCTCTGTGGAGAATCGGGCTCGCGCCGTGGCGGAGGGGGCCGCTGCCCCTCTCCGCCGCCCCCCACCCCCCTCCCTCTTCGAGGAGGCAGCCCCCGCGGGCGCAGCCCCGAAGAGCCTGGAGGAGCGCGTGGGGGCGCTGGAGGAGGCCCAGAGGGCGTTGGAGGTCAGGATCGCGGAGGCGGCGCGCTCCTCCTCCCCAGACCCCCTCGCGCTGCGACAGAGAAGATCCCGACGGGAGGCGTCTCGCTACGTTTTCTGCCTCCGGGGGCCCTTACCGGGCCTCGCGACCGTCAAAGAACGACTCAGGATGAGAAACCAGTCCCGGAGAAAGGGTCGAGACCTCAGGATCGCGGAGGCGGAGCGTTCCTTTAGGCCTCGCAGACGGGGGCGGAGCAGATGGGGTCGCAGGCTCGCGCCGCATCGCCGATGCATCGCCGATGCGGCTCGATGTGCGACATCGCCGATGCATCGCCGACGTCGACGATGCGGCGCGATCATCCGACCCCATCTACTCGGACCCCATCTGGGAGGCCTCAAGTTCCTCCTCCGCCGCCGCTTCCCTCGAGGAAGCACGAACATGGATTGAGGCGCGTGGACTGTTGAGGGATCCCGCTTGCATGCAGAATCGGCGCGCTCCGCCACCAAATCGGGCGGCGGCGGCGCTGGCGCCACTTCTCGGGGGTTATCTCCCCCGGTCCCTGGCGACTGCACACCAGATCCACGTATCCCTAATCCATGTTTTAGCGTGCGCCTTTCTCGGTCCGTCGCAGAAGGAACAATGCACCACCATACACGCTCGACCCTCCGAAAGGCCAGGGGCGGCCTAGCGGCCTGGCCGACCCCCTGCAAGCCATCCCAGGGCTGGACCTAAACGGTGTTTTGGCGATTTCGTGGGCCGTCTTCGTTTCGATTTCGTTTTGCGGCAGAGGCGGATTGAAGACAAAACGAGGGAAAACGAAAACAAAACGAAAACGAAAAACACCGTTTTGATTCAGCCCTGCTCCCATCGCCTCACCCCTCGGACGTGAGCAGCGCGGCCAGGGGGACGCTTGGACGGCGAGGACGACAGCACGGAGGGTGCTGGCCACCGCAGGGGTCGGTTGAGCCGCGTCCAGAAGGGATCCGACGCCAGGTCCGTGGAGGCGGAGCTTTGCTTGTTCTCCGCCGCTTCCTTCAGAGGCAACGTTAAGGGGGATGCGGTGGGTTCGAGTCGTGTCGACGGGCGGCGATCGCTGGCGACCCAGAATCGGCCCACTGTTGAACGATCCAGCGTTTTTGTAGCGGCCACTCGTTCAAGGTTGAACGATCCCCGCGGTGTCAGGAACCAACGCCAGGGTCGACATGACGCGAACCTGTCGTAGGCTCAGGGGGGAACGCATCGGCCCCCAATCCCCCGTTCATCGCCGATAGGGGCCCGACAGCCCACCCCGCTCAGAACCGTGCTGGTTCGCTATCGGGGGCACATGCCGATTTGTTGGCTTTGTATCGACGATCCCAGGTTGATTTTTCCCTTTGGGGCTGGTCCCCACCTGACGTTGTCCCTCAAGACATGGTCGGGGAAAACCGCGAAGGCACGTTCTTGTGTGTACTCGGCTTCTGGAGAAACCGTCCTTTTGTCCGGCCTCAGGGCCGACAGACACTTTAAGGGTAGCTCTTTGGGAGATGTTATAGAGGATCGGGAGTATAGCTTGCGCGCCGCTGCCTTTGGCTCAAGGCACGCGCGCCCTATTTGCCCGGACAGTTACCTTAGTGTTCGGTACGTGCTGGAAAGATCACTACACCGATATTATCCGATCGTATCCATCCACTTTCCATATCGAAGGAACACGACATGGAATTGGATGCTGTATGAGATGCCAGAGTCATCTCAGACTTGGTAGCGGAGCTGGCCGCACTCGCGTGGTCAGCTCTTGGCCTTCTTATCTTCACGCTATCCGGTACGATCTTCGTGACCAACTTCCACCCTGCGCCACCACTCCAACGACATTTACGAGGATCAATTCAAGAGCAAGAAGCAACACGAGAGGTACGACGTCTAGGCAACAACATTGGTACCATATACGCTTCATCACTACGCTACTACCAACCGCTCGGCAACGAGCCAAAAGCGCAGCACTTGAAGCATAGGCGGGGGGACCCGCAAGATAAAGCGCTTCGTAGATTTGACAAGGCGCTACAAGCCCTACCCCAGCGCGGCAACGCGCCTGATAACCACCCATAGTTTCACAGCCTAGGGCTGGTTATCTTCGCCATCATATGGTTTGCGCTGGCGGCAGCAATCGGACACATGCGCCGAGGAGACAATAGCACAGATGGGCAAACACATGGCCCATACTGGGACCCTCAAGGCAACGTGCCTTTCGGCTGATACGTTTATGAGGGCAACGCGTGGCTTAACGTCACAAGCGGACGCATGACGCCACAATCCCAAGCAGCCGCCATACAACGCGGCCTGGGTGGCCTAGCGAGGACACTCGACATGAGGGTACCACCTGACATTATACACTATGGTGCAGACATCGATGGTGTCCACACCGACCCAGTAACCTATACTATGTTCCTCCCAAGCATGAAGTTCGAACGCTCGGAAGATGAGCGCCAGCTCACTTCAGGCACTCAGCTCATCGACTTCCACGTACCTCACGGAGAACGAATCGATGTAACCCTTACTCGGCTTGAGATGGCCCGTCTTGAGGCACAGTCGGTGGGCTTTGACCTTCCCAACTTCCAACTGCTCGCGACTATCCTGTTCCGCGCCCTAGGTGTTGGCAACCAGCGAGCCACGCAACTCTCACAGCCACTCAACCACCAAATGCCCCGAACACAACAGCAGTATGACGAACTGTGTGAGAGGATGCGTTCTATAGGCCATTTGTCAGAACGGTCTCCTGGCAACATAGGATCAGTGTTTGGAAGAGGGAGGGGAATTGGCAGTGGAAACTTCTAAACTACCCAAACCACTGAAGCTCAGCCTGGCAACGGGCCCTCAAACATATGGGCCGACGATCCTGGAGAATCTACCGCCCTACTAGCAGGGGGTCGATCACAACCGAGCTGGGCAGCCAGCCCTCCTCCTAGAGAGCCTCAACCCCACCGTTCCCTATGGGGCGAAGCGAATCCCCTAAATAATGGGATACCCACCCACTTAGGTAACGACGACTTCGACTCCGGCACCGACACCGACACTATATAATCAGATGGTATCGAACCCCCACATTGGTCAGATATAATGCAAATGGAAGGGGACAATCAGCGCGCCGAACACTTGTTCTGGTTATTACAACAAGCAAAGCGTAGGTGGAGGAGGTTTACACGAAAACCAGCGCGTCGTGTTAGGAGGGGGATACGGAGGAGCTCCAAAGGAAAAGGTAAAGGCAAACGGGGTCGCCGAAGGTTGAACGGACGAGGCATCTCGGCTTTTCTCCAGAGGCTTTCAGATGATCAGTATGATGAGATATGTTTCGGTGGAAAAGGCCGTGGAAAGGGCCGCAGGGAGACCTCAGGCAAAGGTAAAGGTAGGCGGGGAAACCCGCGAGGTAGAGACGGCCAGATCTTAAAGTGCCATGAGTGTGATAGTACCGATCATCTTGTAAAGGATTGTCCAGCGAAGGGAAATGGAAAGGGTAGATCGACCGAAGTCCATTCAGGCCCAAGTGAACCGTCTATTGAATATCTGAGCCTCCAAGACTTCGAGGCTGTGGAACAGAAATTTTTCACTTGGGCTAGCAGTATGGACAATTTAGATGAGCTCGAGGCGTACTGCCATGGGCTTTACTCGTACTACCTCGAGTACCTCCGCAGGTTTGTCATCGGAAATATCGAGTTTACGCCTGTGGAGAACGGAGCGCTGGGAAACCAGCCCCTCTCTTTCTTCGACTGGATATTCGGTAACCCAGGCAACATCATGGCTTACGAGAGCAGCGACGAGGAAGTCACTGTTGAGGCCTCTCCTTCGGAGGTCGACCACAACCTTCGACGTCAACCCGACCTCATGCCTGGAAACAGGCCCACTCCAGTATATCCTCCAAATTATGGTGATCTGATGGAATTAGAGGCTCAAGCATTCACCGTGGGCGTGTTAAGGCCCAGTGAAGCGACCACCCCCCCCCCCTATAAGTTTCGTTCAGTGCGTCGCCCGAGCGTCGCCCGTGCGCCGGCCCTGGTTTGCGTCTCTGTCCCGAATCCCGGCCTCCCAGAGTGCGTGGGCGACATATGGCGCGACTTCGGAATTTCTCTGGCGATATATAGGTTTCCGACGCCGGTGCACCAGCAGCCATTTTGGCAGTCGCGGCGCTTTCCTAGCTCGACGGTCCACCAACGCGTTCTGTTCCCAATTCGGCGCAAGAGGATTTGCTGGTGCTCATTGTCGGGGGCGCCAACCGTTGCTGAGGACGAAGACGCCTCGCGTTGATTGGGGGCTGTGCGTGTCGCGCCACGGCGGGGGGTGACGTCGCATCCCGCGACGCGGCGCCACTTCGCCCCGTCGCATCGCGCCCCGCACCCCCATGTCGTTTCGCGCCAATCCTCCTGCCCCCCCCCTTCTTCCTTCCTCTTCCCTTCGTCCAACGCGCTGCGCGTTTTGTCCCGTTTGCGAAATTTGTATTCAGTTTTTTTGTGTCAGGCTGCCGTCCTGTCCGCCTCCCTACTCACCCCCCGTTGTCCTTTCACCCTCCTGGAACTTCTTCTCGCCCTCCTCGCTCCCGCCGCCCCCTTCGATCGCCTTCCATCGCTCCCGCCGCCGCTGCGCCGCCCTCGCGCGCCCCCCCCATCGCCCGTCCGTTCCCATTTCCGCCCGCCCTTCCCTCGCTTCACTTCCATCCTCTTTTTCCCCCCACTGCATCGGCGGGCGAGACGTCGCCAAATTGCTGCAGCGACGGACCGATGTTCAAAATCTGACGGGGCGTGCGCTTGACATGGATTAGTCCGCGCGCGCTGCATCTCCATGTCGTTTATTGGTCTCCTCGCGTTCGTAGTTATCACGTGCGTGTCTCGCTATTTCTACGATTGCCGCGCGCATCCCTCGATTGTTTCGCCAGCGGGCCGCGCAGTTCACATGCCGTCAGGAGTCCACGGCGCCCTTCGAGCGATTCGCGCGCGACCTGCGCGCGACGCGCGAACGACCCGAGCGACGCCCGCGCGACGCACGCGCAACGCGCGCGCGACGCGCGCGCGACGCAC